AGTGAGTTGCAATTGTTGTAGAAAAAAATGTTAACAGTAATATCTAAGTGAAACTTGCTAACAAGATTGACGTTAGTAGCGGTGCCATCAAGCATAGAGCGATATTTTCAAATGCTCTCCAGCATTATTGCAATTTCATAATCGTGGCGAACAAATTTCGTTAATAACGGAAATCCATTCAAAATTCGTCATTATTTAGAAGGTCAACGAGTCATGCTGGAACAACTAGAATTGATATAACCGTTGTTTCTGTCATCTTCGCCAGACGGAGTCAGATCATTAACAACGATACAGTCAATAGTTGTATTATTAATACCCATTGCACTTTCTAAGATTGTTTATTTCGCATGCCTTCTCACAATGTTTGTATACATTATACGTGTTTTTTGTAAATACAAGTAAAATGAATATTAAAGGTTTTTTTATAAATATATATATATATATATTGTTAAAGATGCATATACAATGTATAACAATATAAACTGCATAGGCAGTGCGGCTAGATAAAATTCGCTTCGCGTAGGTAATCACCGAGGGTGAAGGTTATATATACTTAAATTAACAACTGTCATCATATGTAAAAAAATATTTCCCTTCGTGTAATAACTGGCTGTGCATGTAATAACCGGAAAGTAGTAGAGATGACATTAGTTCGGATAGATATACAAAAGGAAAATGTAGTATTGTTTATCATTTTATTGCTAATAAATTGTTAAATTCCTAAGTAATTTCCTATGGATGTTGTTGTTTCGCAAACGGTCAACAAATCAAACGTTTACCTCAGGCCATTCAGTTGGAAGTTGGCATTACCGTATTCTATGTCTGCTGTATCCTTTATTTTTATTTATTTTTATTTTACCTTTGTGCACTGTCTGACAAATCGAATAAGACATGTTCTGCTAGTTTCAAGAATCTTCGAATGGGGGCTGTTATGTATCAATACTTACCAGCAGTTGGGGGAAACAACGGGATCGAAATGAAATTATTGGACCAGTGCCGCCTAAACACTGTTTATATTAGTGAGTATGTAAAGAATAAACTGAATAGACAGACGTCAGTGTAAATGTCATCCTGTACGTAATAGTTATGTGTTACACAAGATTCAGTTTCAATAAAGGCTCATATATCTACAATGCGATCAATCAGTTTATAAAGATTTAATATCAAAATGTTCCTTCATGCACAGACGATGTACGTTTTTAACAGGTTGAAACATTTCAAATACTACTGGTCCCTTCGTCAAGCGAATGGGTACCTTAATCGAATCACTGGTAGGCCTTCAACTTAACGACACGTTAAATACCTACCTTGTTAGTGTATCGATTAAAACTTTGATATTATATACCATCTCATATACCCCAATATACAACAATATAAATAAACATGAATTCAAATATTGTCCTCTACAGACCATACAAGATTTTATTACATTTCAGCTGTGCAAAATATCGTTATCAAATGGAACAGAAATGGATATTTTTCTACTGTAAAAATAACCGTTTTAGATATTTTCACACCTGGAAATTAGCAACAAATGGTCAATATAAATTGTGACGTCATATTACCACTAACGTTTCTTATAGTGAAATCGAAATTTACATTGCTTGCATTTTTGTTTACAGGAAATAGACAATGTGTTCACAGAACATGATATCTCTTTAAATAAACCCGTAACAAACAGAACATTACTGGTTTCCTGAGAACTAGGAGCATGGAGTACAGTAGGGATTTTGCCAGAATGTCTTTAGCTTATTGTTTTCAGCCTTCATCTTCCTTGTTATTGCTTACACTATCTCTCTCATTGAAATGGCATTAAATAGAACAAAGGTAGGTTTTGAAATAGGTCGCAGTGCACAACTTAAATCTAAGCACATCCTAGCTTAACGTGAACGACTCCACTGTAGATAATAATACACATATAAGTGATCGAGTTTATGTCATTTTAATCTTATCTGGCGCACACGGTATAAAACGAAACCATGGTATAACTGCTATCATGACTCATGTGTAGTGAAGATGAATATTGTGACCAATTCCATGCTAACCAGGGTCGATTTGTGGCAATTTTGGTACACGTCTTCACAAATATTAAGGTTATGATTATTGTATTAAGTCAGAGACTTTAAACCTCAATCATGTCAGGTTAAGACGTGTATTCAAACACTTTAAATCATTTCACATATTAGTGAAGATTAATCTTTCATTATCTCTGTAAGGACACGTTATTGTATGTTTTGTAAGATAATAAAGTCATACTATAGTTTATTTTTTGTACATATTCAAACTTTTGCATGGACATTAGTACATGAAGTGCAATAGTATATGAAATACATAATAGTATCTTTTACCCCCTTTGAGTTCCGAAAGGGGAACACAACCCAAGGTGGAAATGCTTAATTTGCCAAACTCGGGGATTATCGAGTGTTGGCTGGTTAGGATTTTTTCACCGAGTGTTGAGATTCCCCGTGCATCGCACCTCAAGGAAATGAATGGTGTTTTTTCTGTTACTTCGTTGACCCTGTCATATACATAATGTAATATTAAGGTAAGTGGTTAAGTGCATTGTTGCCGTAAGTGAACGTATTTTAAACATGACATCATTGTATTAGTGACGTGACGTCATAAAATTTTATGATTGTGGTAAGACCAGGGGATTTGCCGAGTGAAAGACTTTTAAGAATCTAACCAAGAGAGGTAAAAAAATGATTTTTGTTCTCCCACATCAAATACAAGTGGCTACCTCCCTCTAGGAGATGACAAGCTGATATGTTCGGCTTAAAATTGAGACACATCTATGAAGGTTGAGAAAACTCTTCATTTTATTAGGGAGAAAAGGATACCACACACCGGTAAAAGTGAGGATACGCCTGTCCGGGGTAAGAGAAAATGATATCTCAGTGGGAAAAGCGTTGATACACCTGCCCAGGGTAATAAAAATACTGAACCAAGTTTCTTTGCTCCTTCCGTAGTTCGTGTTTGCGTTGATATGCTGTCTTTCCTTTTTTTATTCACGTTGTATTAACGTAGATATGGATTATATTGCTACAGTAAATTATACGGAACGGACACCGTGGGTCTGGCATAAGCCGCAGCTCCTCTGCAAAGACAGATAAATGGCAAATATAATTTTAATATCGTCCTAACGTGATTATCCATGCATTGTTTATGACATGCCTTGAGGTTCCATACGTCTATAGATATGAATACATTGAAGCAGCCCTGATCAATACGTAGAAGTACAGGAACTAGACAGTCCCTATGTAACTTACGTTCTATAATAGGCTACCGTAAAAACAGTGTACAGATGTAGCTAACACGTGTGTCTAGTACTATTGTCTAGACTTAACAATATTACGTTATATGGTCCAGAAGGCCACATTTAGCAGTATTTACTGTTCTATCGAGAAACAATTTCCACCAAAAAAGAGGCGGGATGTTTCCGTCTTTATCGGAATAAAACGTCTTACAGTACAAATCGAAATAATCATCAGAAACATTCATCAGAGGTTTCATTAATTTACGATTACGATTATAGTCAAATGAACTACGAGTAAATGATTCTATTGGACACAAGATGCAGTTCGTATGACGGACCGACATCCACTGCATTCATATCCCACGTCTCAATAACACAAATATTATTTCTAATGTTACTGCAATATCCTTTTTCTATTTCAGATACCTTGGAAAAGAACAAATTGTGCAGCCTGTCAAGATAAAAACACGAACTACATTTGGACTTTCCACGTCACACAAGAGATGAACATGTCAAGCAGGCACGCCCCCAGTACGGAGTGTTAAAGTGATGTATGATTGGCTGTATATAGCCTGTGTGTCGCTATTGGTACTGCTTTTTTTAAGTTTACCCTCAGTATTGAGCCGTCAATCATCGCATCTATAAACAGCAGCTTCAGCGTTCCAAAACAACTGACGCATTGCCTCTTGCTATCTCTGTCGTCCAACTAACACGCGCAATCATTGTGACATTTGCCATACACGAAAATCTAGAAATAAAGTAATTGATTATGAAAAAGAAGAAGGTACATATGGATATTTACTTAATTAGCTGCGTGATGGGGGCATGTTGACTGTTGAGAAGTTCCATGTATCACCGACAGCACCAGTGAGAAAAACCAGGTATACCAACACCAAGCCTGCATGGTTATTGCGCCGTATGAGTAATGCTTCCCTCGGAATCAACTTTTGCTATATATGCAAGTTTGTGCCGTCGTCCTGTAATAGAGCGACCCCTGTCGGACTAACCTGGCGGCATTGTTTTCTGTTGGGAACAACCATCACATAAATGAAGACAACTTCGATTAGTGGACAAACCAAGTCAAATTTCCCAGTTGTATTGCATCGGTTTAGAATGGACATAACACAGTCGTAAGATTAGAAAGCATTGATTGTAACCGATAACACGCGGTCACGCGGCTAGGTACGTCACGTGGTAGGTATGGTAAGCTTTGGAGGTATGTTCAGTTTTAATGTTGCTATAACTGTGATGCGGTGCTATTCTTGGATTTGCGTTTTTCGATACACAGTGCGTTAGTCCAACAGTTACGTAAACATTGCAACATTTGCTTGGATATGCATCTATACTTTGTGTCAGAGAACAGTGTTATAACACGGATATAAGTACCTTGACAGGCCCAGCGAGGAAAACATATCAAATGTAATACTGTTCTCAATGTTCTCGTTTATTTATAAATGCCATTTATGAACTTGTGTCATAGTAACTCTGTGAGTTCAATCGGAAACAATATAGATTGAAAACAAACTTACAGCATACAACCAGCCTTTGGATACTGGGAGTTTTGGAGAGAAAAAAATACTTCAAGTATACATATACTCTTCGGTATACGTCAGCAGAGGTTGACATTGAGTCTAAGTTACTACTACATTTGTCTGAAAATATAAGATGACAAAATTACTACTTATTTCAAACAGTTAAATACCAACATATCCATGGATGTGTATACATACATCCACCTGATTTTAACAACGGCGTAGTCCAGTTTGGATGGCAGACACACGAAGGACATATCTACACTGGTGCTAGATGATTACATATTGATTATATTTACTTCTGTAAGGACAGTATTACTCCAGGTAAATAATATAAATCATTAACAATGAAATGTGATGCCATTTTTATGAGGATAGATATATTAATATAGATAGAGATTATATTAATATCTGTGAACATTTTATGTGTAAAATACCAGCATCGACAAGTTTAGGGTACAAAAGTAAAGTCGGTGCCTTTTCGTACTAAACGAACCTCTGCGTCTATTTCTTTATTTTTTTCTGTACCTTTTTTCTGAAAACTAACGCAAAAGGTTTTTGTTTGTGGAACCAACGCTCTATATGTATGAAACAAAAGTCCGTAGCCTTTTGTACGAACTACTTCCGGTGTCCATCAATGACCACTGGTGATAACTCGTCAAAACATCATTACAACTCGGACATCAACTGGACAGTCAATGTATGGGGAGTTCCCGACTGGTCAATCGTGTCCGGCCACTGGACACTAGCCTGGCTCAGCTACGTCTACGTTTTCTGCATGGTCTACCTCATTATTCTGGGGTTCGACCTCGTTCTATACGCGAAGTTCCAGCGCCGCCTGGCGAGGCAGCGCCTGCTCAATACCCTCCTTTGTTACGTCACCGTGTGTAATCTACTACTGTTTGGTTTCCACGTAGTTGATCCGTACGGCTATTACGGGAGAATACCGCATATAGTTACACGTGTCGTGTGGAAACTTCCGTATCCGGTTTTATCAGGAACATTCTGTCTGCTGCAAATGGTGATAATGAAACTCACAAGGCTTGACATCCCCTCAATTCAGCTCAATGGTTACTGTTTCCTGGTGCTCGCCACCGGTATATACACAGCGGAAATCGTCATAATAGAAACACTCATTTATCTATCGACCATACCTGCCAAGTTGTCGTTTATTACAGACGCTATCTATGTGGTTTATGTTGTGTATCTTAGCTGTTGTTTTGTCTATGGAGCGCCTAAAATAGCACGATATGCAAGTGAGGCCCAGCGAGCCAAGAAGGAATTAAGTAGCCATAGCCTGTCCAAAATTGATAAGAAAATTACTGAGGACGGACGGAATAAAACGAGAATTAATTACCCAAGGATACGCACCAATCAGCCAGGAAATCGAATATCGTTGCTAAGTGATGATTCGTCAGGATCAGACAGCAAACATGAATCGTCATTTATTGAAAAGAAAATGGCAATTAGGCGGGAAAAGACAGCTGCATTTGCTGCTTGGTATAAAAACACATTTTCACGTGACCGACCCAATTATAACAAAAAATCCTGGAGATCTCAAAATAATATGTTTTGTAATGATAAAGTAAAAATTAAAACATATAATTCGTCTGGGTCACTAGACGGAAGTATGACGCTACACGATTATAGTTCCCTCAACGAAGACAGTGGTAACGAGAGGTCAAGCTTTACACTTCCACATTCCTCGTCTTACGACCTCATAACAAACACTCACGTGACAAGTAAAGCGTCATTCCGAAATAGGGCGTGCAGAGAACGCCATTCAACTGAAAAATTGAGAAAAAAATCAAAAGACGTCCGAAATGACGAGAAAGAAACTAGTGTACCGATGTTATTAAATCCGTCGATCTTAATAACCAACGAAACAAAGATCTTTGAGAGCGGATACATAGCCGACGTGGAGCGAATAAGTTTATACTCAGAGGACGATGACCATTACAAATGTAAGTCAAATAGGCGACGACGGAAACACGAGGAATTCGTACCGGATCTGACGTTACCAAATTCATCATCATTTCTGAGCTTTCAGCGCTTACGTCAAGGACGAATGCTCAACGAACTCGTCCGTTATACCTACGCACTCACCGCCTTTGTTATGTTAAGTTGTATTGGAAGTGTTTACGGCTTGTTTAACCTGACCAGTCGAGGACTTCAGTATTCCCCAGCAGCCAACCCAGTGTCTTGGTTAATCATCAATTTCTTTCAAAGGTAAATTACATCAAAGATATAATTAAATGACATTTTGAAACGTATACAAACTTTCAAAGATGTATACGCTGGAATGACAATTCGTGAAAGCATGTAGAGTAAATTGGTAACTTTTAAATATATTTGAGATTTTTAATACCAACTTATAAAGGTACGTTCAATTAAATGACAAGTTTCAAGGTACATGTACACTTTGCATGTTTAAATGACATTCAATTGGATGGCAGATAAACTTCCGCAGGTATTGTACGATTGGTAATTTAAAAAGGTATGTTCGATAAATGGACAAATTTTAAAACATTGTACGATGCTTATGACAGCTTTCCAAGGACAAAAAGACAATTTCAATAGTATACACGCTAAAGTTATAGTATCCAAAGGAATATATAATTAACTGACAAGTTTTAAAGCTACATGTATGTACGATAAATTGACAGCTACATTATGTATATACCATAACATAAATTAACAAGTTTCAAAGATTGAACGTTTTTATGACAAATGTCCAGATGTATTTTCGACTAAATGACAACTTTCCAAAGTATGTACGCTCAAGTCTCAACGATAAACTCACAAGTTGCAAAGACATGTGTGATTTACTATCAATTTTATTTTAAAGCTACATACGATAAATTGACATTTTTATTATATAAAAGGATAATTTCTAGGTAATTACCATCAAGTGACAATCTTTAAAAGGTGGTTTAGATAACTAATAGTTTAATGACAATTTTCAAAGGAATGTACGATTAATTGACAACTTTTAAACAATACATTACACGGTGTTTTATTAAGAATAGTAATATTATCTCTCAAATAAAACACTTTACGATATTCATGTTTCAGTAGCATCTGATAACGCATTCCTATATCTTGTCATTGGGACTACTCATTGTTCATTGTTGTTTAACGGATGGTAACACGTACACATTGCTGTTTCACTAGAGGCCTCTTATTGTTGTTGTCCTGGTGTACCTTTTTTCCTTGTGACCTCACATTCTTGTGCTAGTGATGGCTTCACTTTTCTATTTTCTTCTCCCATTTGTTTTTATTCATGGCCTTACATTGGTACTGTTGGAAATACACAGTTTGGTACTGGTCGTTTCTCATTTGTGTTGCGCATATAACCGCTGTGCCGCCTGTCGCACATCTTGCTGTTATAAAGGTGAAAGGTAATTTGGGATGTCGTCTTTCTTTTTTGTCAGCATCATCAAGTAGTTTTCTGCCTCCCAACTTGACATTTAAATTTTTGCCTGTTTTAGCTATTTTATTAGTAAGGTTACCAATTAGGATCCCACGTATGTAGTTGATTGATAGCAAATGCGCTTTAATTCAAAGACATACAACATCAATGCGTTCCTATGAAACAACTATTCTCTAGAAATCAATACCAATACCTTATCAGTTGTACGTTGTTCTTAAAGCATATTCTTATTTGCAACCGTGGTGTTGCGGCTCATCTAAGTTGTATTTGATGGCGGTGATGTAATATGGCTTTGCAGAGAAAAAATGGCAATACAAGTGAACGACGGCATCAACACAAAGGGAAATATTTCGACATCAAACTCGAAACAAATTTTGTATGTGCCAACTTGATCCTGCGACATCAATGACATATATAGCAAGACAGTTGTCAGTAATCAAGCTTTACTACGTCATCAATGTATATAGACTTTATTGTAATATATAGTGTATGTCCGCAGTCGTACATTACTACGTGAACAATGGATATAGGTATGACGTATTCCGTATTTGCGTATTGCAGAGTTATCTGCTCTTGTGAGCAGGTATTGATTGTTACGTCATTTGTTTGTGAGAGTAACGTCATCAATTTTTGAGAAAACGAGGTAATTTTCTCACAGAAACCAATGACGTTACAATCAATATCTGCTCACAAGAGAAGATAACTCTGCAATACGCAAAGACGGAATACCATATAGTGTTTGTCCATAGTGGAACATTAGTACGCTATGTAACTTCATGTAACATATGCTGTAGGAATGGCATTTTTGCGATGTGAATTGCTAGCGTTTTTCACGTTGAGTAAACTAGTGTAAAAAATCCAAATGCTAATAATTATTTATAGATAATATATATTCAGAATATGTATATTTCAAAACCATTGCCAACGTGAAGATTGTACAACAGTTTAAAAACGTCACAAATTTCTACAAACGAGAGTGTCCACTGTTACTGTAGTGCATGTCTATAGACTTATGTCGTCAGCAATATAGATATAAAATTAAAGACCAATAATATAATGCATTTGTTTAAAGATACTTTCAGACTTTTTTGTTCAGCGGGGAAACGTCATCTTGGGGTCGCAGTGATCTTCACTATTGATAATGATCTCCCTGAAAATTCTAGAATAATGCGATGCTTCATATTTTTGATTTGTTGATATGTCATGACGTTCAAGAAATTTGATCTGTTCTTGCAGAATCGGTTCAATAGCAATCTCCTTTGGTTTCATGTATTTCCCCATGCCCACCATACAAGTCTCACACACAATGGTATAGATCATTATGATTGATTCAGCACTTCTTGCAACTGCCGCAATGATATTGAAATGGACACTTCGCCTCATGTGCGATTAATGTATTGCCAGTCTGAGTCGTATTCCATCGTCTTGGAATTATCAGTTTCGAAATAAGGTCTAGACTGTAAAATTAAAAAGTTACCTTCACTTTGCATTCCCTGCAGGTTTGGCGTAAATCATCACCTGGATGCAACCCTTTTTTATTTCGTGATAAATTGACAATTTTAAACAACATTTCCACGCTTTCAGTGTGTTGTGATTTGCGAGAACCAAACGAATGATTAGCCTGGAGTTCTATGGTATCGCGGTAGTTAACGTTTACAGAGCATATACAGAACCCAACCTATAGATAAAGACATTTTTTTTAGTGATTTTATCCCAGTTATATGAATGAATAGATAATTTTTGTGTGCAAATACCTATATAGGTTCGGGTAAATACAGTGTAACAAGCTTGTTGTTGGGGTGAGAGGCGACTAATGTGCCGTATGTAGAATTAGGAGGTTTCTTCTGTCTTTTGCGTAAGGGACAATAAGGAACCAGAAACATTCATACTGACTTAATTGTAACGCTTTAAATAACACTGTGATGTACATGAATACATTTGATTTGGAGACACTACGTGCATGGAAAACACTTTTCCTGATTTCACGGTCCTACGACCGATTTTATAGTGAAGGTTCATGATTTATTTTCAGTCTGTTTTAGTCTCTACCCTTTGGGAGATCACAGTCCCACGACCCATTTTAAAGTGTTCATGCCTTACTTTCTGACTGTTTTAATGTTCATCTACCCTTCTGGAGTTCACGGTCCGGGGGACTCCCATCTGTTTTATAGCGAAGGTATATGATGTACTCACTGTCTATTTTAATAGTCCTCCCTTCTGGAGAGCTTGGTCCACCGTCCCGTTTTATAGTGACGGTTCAGTATGCACTTGCTGTTCTTTTACCCTTTTGGAGTTCACGGTCGTACGACTTATTTTTCCTGTTGTTTGCTTACTTGTTTCTATTATGTGTTCTGATTTTTGCTCTTTTGGGGTTACACTGTGGACCAGTCTTACATTTATTTTATATTTAGTTTTAATGTATATATATATTTATTAATTGTATAGGCCAAAGAAGTAATTTTAACGGTAGCTTCATGAATAACACTGGATCCTTGTAAACGTATGTTTGTTGGATACGAATTACTTAGAATTGTATAGGGGGCAATGAAGTCATTCTTACAGTGTAGACAATATGATGTCAAATTTTCGGAGCAAATATATAATTTGTATATATATCTACCATTATTGTCCCTTCGTACCCCCTTCCAGATCATTCGTCAAACATTGGCAGTCCTGGTTTAGCATAAGTGTTAACCAAGTGATCAGTTTTTCCGTCACCTCGATTGGTTTAAAACCTGATTTACGCATTGTGGCGGTATGCAGATTGCCGACATATGACTTACATGACTCGCGTAATGCAGGACCCGGTTGCTCAAAGGTTCGTTAAATTTAACAACTGATTATTGAAAAAATCAAAATACTCAAATTGTTATCAATACGAAGCAATAGCTTTCAAATCAAAATACATCAATCTAAACTGTCTCATCAAAACTGTAGAAGTGAAGTAACCACTGATCAACTCCAGCCAAGTGTTGAGCAACCGTGGCAAGGAGGCGTGTATTTACAAGCGTACCGCTTTATGAACTCAATTACAGTAATAGAATCTTTTTGGAATTAAGGATTTGTTTAAAGATAAAAACATATACGTGTAAATGTTTGATGTGTGTGTATTAATTTGTAACTAATTAACTAACTTCCAACTGATGCCTTCTTATCCTCTTTTTAACGTCGCACATCCGTAGTTATCATAATCCCCTCTCTTCTTGATTAGTATTTCTTTCAAAAATTCATTTTATAATTGACAGGTCTTAAAGATTTGCCATCTTCTGTCTCATGGTAACAAGCTACACGTATTTGAATAAAAATAATTTCGTATGTGTATTTTTGGAAAGGGTATCTTGAAACATGTTTAATTGTTTCAATCCCTGTACTACAAAGTGGGTCTATTAAAACACAAGCAAACTTACCTCCTTCTATCGATTCGACCAGTTTATACAAATTTATTGTTGAAAGAATGAAATTGGATCGTTCGTGAAAGTATAAATCAGGTTGTTTAATTCTCTTAAGATATTTTATAACCGAATGAAATGTGCTACATCATCGTCATTGATATAAGATACAAAACAATACCGTCGGGTCACTGGCTACAACACAGTAAGCCGCGAGTCTTCGCTAACAGCAATTTGACACTTGAGAATTGGTACAGAGCACCAGCAATTCCACCTGAAGGCTTTCTTGCATTTGAAGTGAAAATACTGCATTATTGATTACAAAACACTGCCTTAGAAAGATGACCTTGACTTTAAATATCACAACTTCATTCCCAAATCAATTCTGAGAAGCGGTGTGACATTTC